GGCCCTCATCTGCCTGAGCATCACTGTTCTCACCTGCAAGACACAGGAGTTGCATTAAGTTTTCTCGTTATTCTAACATTTGAGGAATCTGTGGCTCTGTGCAGCTGCAAGTGGTTCTTCCGTGGTAGAGAGAACGTGGTATGCTAATTAGGTCCCTTCTTTCAGGGGCGCAAAGAAGAAACGCTGATTCCCAACTTGTCTCTGAAGGAGGAGCGCCTCAGTCTCCAAAGGGAAAAGAGGAACCCAGAGACAGGTTCACGAATGCCTCAAGCAGATAAGAACCACGATTTTTAAGTCCGTTCAGACCCCCACGACCGACATGGGATGGCTCTAGCCCAGGGTGAAAACACTGCGTTCACTCCAGAATCTTCTGTGCCTTTAGACCAGGGGCTGTTAACCTGGGGTCGAAGGACCCCATCCATGCACAGAATTCAGAATGCCCACTGAACCTGAACAGAAAAATCTTCACCTTTATTTTTATTAACTTGCAGCTGAAATTTAGCATTTTCTTTCAGTTATGAATGTAGTCGGCAAACCACAGGGGTATCAGCATTTCCTGTGGAGTTGTCACCCATTGAAATAATCGGTATTTTCATCTCATACGGTTTTATTCTCACAGCCACTTTGACATGGCAATGGTTTCCAGAACTGCCACAGACTTTATTACTTAGTGCATTATGGAGGGAAATTATTACTATCTTGGGAAATATTTTTAAAACATTTTGATATTTGCATTTCAAAATATGAGTTGTTTCCTTGATAATCTTACATCATAGTTTTAATTTTTTTCTTTTTTAAAATTTTTTATTATGTTAATCCCCATACATTACATCATTAGTTTTAGATGAAGTGTTCCATGATTCATTGTTTGTGCATAACATCCAGTGCTCCATGCAGAATGTGCCCTCCTCAATACCCACCACCAGGCTAACCCATCCTCCCACCCCCCTCCCCTCTAGAACCCTCAGTTTGTTTTTCAGCGTCCATCGTCTCTCATGGTTCGTCTCCCCCTCCGATATCCCCCCTTCATTCTTCCCCTCCTGCTATCTTCTTCTTTTTTTTTTTCTTAACATATATTGCATTATTTGTTTCAGAGGTACAGATCTGAGATTCAACAGTCTTGCACAATTCACAGCGCTTACCAGAGCACCGTAGTTTTAATTTTTTATTGTGAAGAACTCAGAACATACATGAAAGTAGACTGAATGATATGTAGAATCCCACACATCCACCATCCAACTATACCCCCAAATCCTTTTCAATGCTGCATTATCTCTTAACTCCGAGACATGATATAGGTTGTTTACCCTGTAGAGTTTCCAACAGGCTAGGATACGGTCGCATCCCTATGGTGTAGTTCATCAGGTCTCTCTTTCCTCTGTGTTTCTTGTAAACTGAAAATTGGGTCTCGAGACTTGATGTCATCAGGTTTTAGGGGCAGAAGAAGGGGCGAGATTACTTTTGGTTCTCTCTGTTAGCAACCATTGATTTTCAGTGTTTTGATCCATTAGTTAATTAGGGGTTACAAAATGGTTTAATTCTATCATTTCTTACAATGTATTATCTGTAATATTTCCACAAGGAAAACATATCTTCATCAGCTGTTTGGTTGCCCAGGGGTAGAGTTAGTATAGAAAGTCAGAATACACATTCTTGATTCTTTCCCTTTTTATCTATCAATTTTCCAAATAATGACTTGGTTCCTCTCATGCGTCCCATTTTATACATTTAGAAGCATTACCCTGAGAAGGGGTTCGTGGGCTTCACCAGCCTGTCAATGGGGTGATGTCCCAAAGCAGTTAAGAGCCCCTCCTGTGGACCAACTGAAGAGATATAGAGGCCCGCTCTATCTCTTCTGCAGAGGGCTTGCAATCGTAGCAACTGCCCGTTTCCTCAGGGCCTGCTGCACTTCATCTTCATCTCACGCACTGCGGAGCTGGCGAAACCCCCCTCACGTTGCGCTGTCCTAGATGCATTTTGTACCCCTTACGGTGGGAGCCGTGGTGCAGAAAGAGCACTGAGAATGGTCTGATCGAAACACAGACGTGCTACTTACTAGCTGTGTAAACCAAGGCAAATTCTCAACCCCTCTGAGCTTTGGTCTCTTCAAATGGCAAAAGTGACATCTGACTTGAAGAATTGCTTTGAGAACTAAAGAAGGGAACATTCCTGAGACAGTGAGACATTATGGGTCCTCAACAAATATTTGTTAGATCTGGTTCTTCTTCCCACACAGCAGAGGACCTGTTAATTGGATCTTTGGTACTGGTCATGGCAGGAGAACACTGCTGACCATCCTGGGCAGACTGTGATTTGTGGCCCCACGTGACGGCACATACCAGCCACTCCAGCTCCCCCGCTCCCCGCTCCCCTCCATCCCTCCCAGCTTCCTGTCCCCCTTCTCCATTCCCCCTTCTGCTCACTCCTCCCCTCTTCTCTCTCTGGGTCTTTCACTCTTGCCCTCTGGCTGTGTGTCTCTCTCTCTTTCTCTCTCTCATCTTCCTTCCAACTTCCCTCTTCCTGAAGGTGCAGGATGGCTCTGCTAGAGACCAAAATGCTCTTTATAGTGTGCCATGTTCTGCCCACAACGCAGCACATCTCATCTCTCCCCTGGGCCTTCGCCGGGCTGCCCCCTTAAAGACCTTACAAGCAAGTTGGCGTCTCACCCACCTGGGGCTTGAAATGGCCATATCCTGCTTTAACCCTCAAGCCAATGAAAAGGATCAGTGCCGTGTTTCAGCCCATCCTTACAAGCTCGTGGTACATTTCCATTTGGTTAATTTGAAAAATCAGCTGGGTCCTGGGCCCCCCTCAGGATTCCTTTCTTGCACCCCCCCAACCCTGGTCAGATCTTCTTCCATTTCTGAGCTCTGCTACCTCAAGCAGTTTCACCCGCCATACATTTTCTTCCTCTTTCAGGTGAATTGGCTGCTGCTTCTACAGCAGAGGCACCTGTCAGGATGGTGCCTATATTCACATCCTATGTGAGCAATGTCAATGTCTCATCAATGTCTCTCACCAGTGACTCATCAATGACCCATTAATGACTCATCAATATCTCATCAATGACTCATCAATATCTCATCAATGTTTCTCACCAGTTTCATCAAAGTCTCATACTAATGACTCCATCAATGTTTCATTGATGTTGCTCATCAATGTCATTTATAAATGTCTCTCACTGATGTCTCATCCATGTCTCTCACCAATGTCTCATCAGTGACTCATCAATGATTTATCAATGACTCAATAATGCCTCATCAATGACTCATTAATGACTAGCAATATCTCATCAATGTCTCATCAATGACTCTATCAATGTCCCATTGATGTGTAATCCATGTCTTGTCCAGGTCTCTCATTGATGTCTCTCCTCACCCCTCAGAGGTCCCATTGACGGTAGCATGGTGGGCCGTTAAGAACATTTCAGTCTTGCGGGTATAAGTTTGGATGTTGGCTTTCCTGCATATTAGCTGGGTTCCCCTGAGCTTCAGTTTTCTTATTGTAACACGGGCATTAAAAGCCTCTGCCTGAGCTTTGTTGTGTCTAGTACACAGGTGTATTTACAAACGAGAGTCAACAAGCATTAGCAGCTTTCCCTCCCTGCCACTTTCCCTACCCACGGGGAAGGCTCTTCCTACCGTGTCCTAGGGTCTGGGTCCTCCTGGCTCCACGGTTATTCTCAAACGTTGCTCGTCCACTCTGCTTCCAGCCGGGAAGTGCACCAGTCTCCTTTATGTAAACACACCGACGCCTCCTCCCCTCGCAGTGGAGCCGTCTGGGACGCGAGCCCTCTGCTCTCCTGTCTTCTCCTCACCTTACTGCAGTGTGTGCTCTGCTCCACCATTCCACCTTGGGCTTACAGGAAACAGTGACTTCCTAGTGTCCCACAAACGGGGAACATTTGGGTGACTTTCACCAACTTGGTTTTCTGGTCTTGCAGATGTCTGGGAGCTCTTCCTTCTTGACTTTCTTGACGTGACCCCTTTCTTCTCCATGCACTGCTTCATCTCCTCTGTGGAAGACCATGTTGCCCAGATGACATCTTCATCCCTCCTTCCTTTTCTTGGGACATTGTCCCCTTTCTCATCGACTGTATATTTTCGACTGGTGCTTCTGACTCTGACATCGTGTGACTCCACCCAGGCTGTACTCAATATACCCAAAAGGACTCAACATTCGTCAGTGTTTCTTGTTGCCTATGGAATGAAGATTACTCTTTTAGTGAGTGTCATTCAAGGCTCCTTCTGATGGTTCCTGCCCTTGCTTCCAGCCTTATTTTCTGCTGTTCCCTCAAATGTACTCCATCCCTACTAATACCCAAAACCCTGATATCTTGGCAGACAGTCCTCTGCCCTTGTTCACATAGAGAATTCTTACTCAGGCTGTAAGATTCAATCCATGACCTCCCTTCTGAGATAAGCAAGGCCTTCCTGGCGGGCATGGAGCACGGAACAGGGGTAGCAAAGCTCAGTGAGTTTTCTCAGGTTTTGTCTCTGCACAGAATTCTCTAGCCAACAGCTCTGTCACCGGGCCTGGGATATGAATCCTGGCGCACACCACTGTGGCCGAGACAACCGAGCGCGTCATCCTCACTGTGGGCCGCGGTGTCGGGGGGCTGCCGCCTGGCTCCATGCTCGGGCTCCTCGCTGCCCTCCCTACTGAGGCCCGCACACTTATGGAGCTTTCTCTCGGTCTGGGAGGGCATTTGTCTGACCCCCATTCCTGGCCTCACTCGAAAAGTTCCAGGCCGTAGGAAATAAGCTGCGATCTGAGCTCCTCTGTGACCTCACCCACGGTAAGCAAAGTGAAACAGGATCATTTCACAGAATTAAAGACCAGGAAGAGCTTCTGATTTAGGAAGAACAATTTTTAAAATGGATTTGTATGCATAACATCCATTGTGGTTGGTGATAGTGGAGTCAGTGACTAATAAAAATGTCATTTCCTGTGATTTTTATAAATTACAGTAAATATGCCAGTAATCATCCACATTAGCTGCTCAAATGCAGGCAGCCATCTGGAGTGGAGGCCAGGGGACCTCACTGAAGCCTCAAGAGGTAGATCCCACAGGTGCAAATTGACACCCAGGAAAACAGTAGTTAATATGTTCTAGAATTTGGAGAAAGAGAGAATGTTAAAATAAATGTATGTCAAGCAGACAAATTTGGACTTCTCCAGGAGGATCTGTCACGTCAAACAGGAAATAGCTGTAAATTACGTGTAATAGTAAAAATCTTGTCATTTATAACCTTTAAAGCAACGGGCTCATTTAACACATCAACTCATAGATCATAATCTAGGACAGTCAGCCTGGGTATTTATTTCACTTTTAATGTGTAGAAGCCAGAGCAAACCATGCGTGATCCGCAAGACCCCACAGCATGCCATCAGCATTTGGAACCATAGAATGAGCCAGAGAGATAACTGCCTCAGGCCCAGGGTGGTGAATATGTCAAGATATGAAAACCCTTCCTGCTCCTAAAAAGAAAATTAAGACGTGATTGGAAATGTCATGCCTTGGGTAGTCTCATAATGAATAATTCCAAATAAATCCCACCATTATTCTGTTTATTTGTTTTACTTAGAAGCTATTTAAAGTCATTGGAGCTGAAAGTATGTTTCAACATGCCAAGTGTATTTACTGTATCTTGTAATCATCTTGCTAACCAGTTCACAGGCAAACAATAATTGGAGTTCTGTGTTTGTTTCAGATACCTCAATGTATACTGCCCACAGAGAAGCAATCCGGCTCGGAGACATTTTTAAAGGGGCTGAGATGCCTTTGCTGAAGTGCTCCAGGAAGAGGAGCGCACAAAGCCATCTTCTGCGATATTTGAAGACTCAACGGGAACAAGGTATCTATGCTTAATGAAGTTTGCATGCACTGAATAAATATGCGATGTTAGCTGTTACGGGGGGAGGAAGGTTCTGGAAAGACAGCATAGGAACACCAAACTAACCACTCACTTAATAGTGAGAAAAAGCCCCCCAAAATGGGAGTCAAGTGTCTGGCATCACAGGCTATGAGGAGGGAAAAGGTGGTCTCCAGAAGGACAGTAACTCAGAGTTACGCTGTATCCTGCTTCCTTTGACCTTCTCTCTGGCGACCCCCTCCCCTCCATGTTTTCTCCCCCAGCCGGATCCGTCAGTGCTTAACTCGGCCGGGAGCGAGTGCAAACCCATGAATGTGTGGGCGCGAGTGCAAACCCATGAGTGTGTGGGCGCGTGTGCAAACCCATGAGTGTGTGGGCGCGTTTGCAAACCCATGAGTGTGGGCGTGAGTGCAAACCCATGAGTGTGTGGGCGCGTGTGCAAACCCATGAGTGTGTGGGCGCGAGTGCAAACCCATGAGTGTGTGGGCGCGTTTGCAAACCCATGAGTGCGGGCGTGAGTGCAAACCCATGAGTGTGTGGGCGCGAGTGCAAACCCATGAGTGTGTGGGCGCGTTTGCAAACCCATGAGTGTGGGCGTGAGTGCAAACCCATGAGTGTGTGGGCGTGAGTGCAAACCCATGAGTGTGTGGGCGCGAGTGCAAACCCATGAGTGTGGGCGCGAGTGCAAACCCATGAGTGTGTGGGCGCGAGTGCAAACCCATGAGTGTGTGGGCGCGTGTGCAAACCCATGAGTGTGTGGGCGCGAGTGCAAACCCATGAGTGTGTGGGCACGTGTGCAAACCCATGAGTGTGGGCGTGAGTGCAAACCCATGAGTGTGTGGGTGCATGTGCAAACCCATGAGTGTGTGGGCACGTTTGCAAACCCATGAGTGTGGGCGTGAGTGCAAACCCATGAGTGTGTGGGCGCGTGTGCAAACCCATGAGTGTGTGGGCGCGAGTGCAAACCCATGAGTGTGTGGGCGTGTGTGCACACACACAAACACGCGCGCGCACCCGTGCGCACTTTCACGCATGCGTGCGACACACGTACATGCTGCACAGCCAGGGAGGACGTGGCAGGAGGCACATTGAGAATCCGTGGTCTGTTGGCTGGGTGGCTTTGCCCCATTTTGCTTTTCCACGTTCTTCCAAGGTATGCTTCCAGTGGGGTAAAAATTTGCCTCTGCCCGAATATATGAACACCAGCTACTTAAACACACACACACTAAATTTAATCTTAGAAAGAAGTTAAAATTTAAAAATCCACTTCCACTGGTAAGTAGTTTAACTGGTTCCTTTAAAAATAATTGTTGCTGTCCTTCTGAACTGAATCCTATTTTCACAATAGTGGCTAGTTTCCACAGATTGGCGGTTGTCGGTGACCAGGAAGAGGGGTGTGAGGATGAGACAGCGTCTATAGGTAGAGTTTGGGCACTATTCAGAGCACATAGGTAAAAATCCTGTATCTCTGGGAGAAGAGCTGACTCTGGGAACCAAATCATCCAAAGCAACACCTCCCCCCCACATCTGGATCACCAAAACTAAACCAAACCATATACACCAAGCCTAAATTATTCACTTCACTTTGGCTGACACCAAACATACATATGTGTGAAGTAACACACTGATTTTGGGGGAATGTACATGCATCAAATGAATTAAAGAATTGGGTTCTTTTGTAGCCTAGGTAATTTCTAGAAACACCAGCCACCTATATCTTTAGCCTCAATTGTTAGATTATTACTGATGAAAGAATATTTTTCTTTTTTGGGGGGTTGAATTGAATGGATAATTGTCTCAATTCTACATTTTTAAATTACATAAAACTACAGGATGTGCATTGCATGTGTTGACTACATATTACTTTAACACATCTGCTAATTTTTAACAAAGTTAATTTCTACAGAATAGCAGGTAATTGTGGGCAGAATGTTAATAAACTCATCATTTGACTATCCCCTCGGTTCGAAGACACACATTTTAGTGTTATTGTCTCTGGAATCTGCCCACATCGTTAGCACAAGTGCTTGTGTGTGGTATTAACCTATAGATAATTTATTGTCCATGTGGTTTAGGGTGAGGAGAAATTGTGTATCAAAGGTCACCTCTTCTTCCCGGATACTTCGTTACGTAGGAATTATAAATTATGTCCCCAAACTTCAGCATGGCTATTTTTATTCTCAAAAGTCTTGTATTTATTATTCACACTGGATTGCCGTGGGTATTGGACAGAGAACTCCTCTTGCCTTGTCCATCACCAACTGAAAAAGTTACAAATGAAAACTCTGGAAGACGCTCCAAGGATGAAGCAAGGAGATCACATACCCAACTGGTACCAAATGTGATGATGAGTCCAAAAAAAAAAAAAAATCACCAAGTTAGGACCACTGAATGGGATTTAATTAATATTTTAAATTTCAAGATGAGCATGCAAATGTGCAGCAAAACACTGAGCTATATTTGTGCTTGTTTTCTGGAAACTTTACAAGGCAATTATTGTAATACAGAAAAATCTCTACCACTGACCCCTCAACCGTGCCACACGGTATTTCCAGCCTGAATTCTTTCCACGTCTCTTCTCAGAGCCAGAAGTCTTGGAGAAGATTGGGAGCCAATTTTAAACGTTAGGTCAGTTGGAGGTGGTGTGAGGACAGTAGAGAGAAGAGAAAGAACATGTTTAGATCTTCAGATTTTTAAATGATCAGGATTCCATACAGGGAAACAGACATGTTGGTGCGATGCTCCCACACCTGCTTCTTACCACACTTGCTGGCTGGTGGGGCGCAGGACACACGTGCGCACATAGGGTGACTGCTTGGGCAAGGCCATCTCTTCTCCGGCAGAGGGCTGGTCCAATGGCTGAGGTCACCGCCGCCCACTGTTAGCCCCTCTGCTCCTCACCTCCTCCGTGTTCTTGATCAGCTCATCGTCCTATATGCACCGTTTAAAGGGGAATTACCTATTACCTCAATTATCTGTCCCTTATCGACCGAGGTTACACTACAAGGATTTGCATTGAAAGGACACAAAGAAAGAGCAAGTCATGGCACATGGCCAAATAAAAGAGTAATGTTCTGGTGAATTTGGCCTAAATAATTTACTGCTATGGGAAAGTGGGAAAGTGGAAGGTGAACCCTTTGACCAATAAATCTCTCCTGCCCATGAAACCCTTATCTGGTCCCCTCCAACATATTCCACACGAGGAAGCCATCATCATTGGCTCTGGTTTGTTATTTGTAAACCTTGATCTTCTGCACTCGGTGTCCTAAATATGGATAATTAGCATCAGTTTATCACGCTTCTGCATATTTTCTCTTCTCTCCAAACATGCATGCTTCTATTGGCTGCCATTCTGCCACAGAAGATTATGGAGACAGATTGCAGAGAATGAATGTGCTAAACGAGATTAGGAAGGAATAGAAATAGCAACTTGGCCAATAAATTCCTCGTGAGAGCCTTATCATACAATTACACGTTGACTTGTTTCACACTCTCCCAGCCTCTTAATCCAACGCCCCCACCAAGAGTAAAATTTCACTAATTTCTGAATTACTGCATATCCCCCTGACTTGTTACCGAGAATGGTTGGAAGGAGAAACACTGCTGAAAACAACACATCAAACTTTACAATAAAAAAATTTAACTTAAAATGTCAAAATGGATTGTATGGATTTGGGGCGTTTAAAGCACGTTAACCACCCAGGAATGAATGCACGGAGCCTTGGCATGGAGAGATGTTTAGCTTCTCTTTGAGCCCCCGGATTCTCCCATCGTGCCCGTGGTGGGGTTCGGAGCTGTGTGAACAGGCCGTTACCTTGCTGTGAAGCAGAGCTGTCTGAAGGGCTTTAGGACAGCAAAGCCTTGGCTTCGTTTCCTCCTCTTACTGCTGATAACAATTCGGCCCGAGGACTTGTGGGCCCATCCCTAGAACTCTTGGGGTATCGCCCCCTCCTTGCCCAGACTCGCACACACGACTAGGTGCATCAGTGGAATTCCTGCCCATTCCATGTCTCCGAAAACAGTGTGACCGGGGACGCTGCCCAGGGCCTCCACAGAGGGGGCCCTCCTCTCCTTCCCTCTGCAGGACTGGTGGTGCTCACTGGCGGGGATGGAAGCCCAGATCACACCCTCGCAGGGACGTGCTGCCGAAGCGGGGAGGCCTCCAGGTCAGTGGCTAACGAAATCCACAGCAAGTGTAAACGGTTTTACACACAGATTATGATGTTGCCTTCCCTCTTCTCCTCCAAGTCACGTCTGCTAGGATTTACCGAAGAGAGGACCTTACCCACAACCCAGAGAAGCGACTCGACATTTCGGAAGGCCTGCTTCCAGGCTCTGAGCACAGAGATTCACTCAGCGAACACGCACCGGGCACCTCCTACGTGCCAGGCCCAGTTCTAAGAAAGCCGGCCCCGCACACGTGACAGAGGGTGCTGCTCAGGCTTGACCTGATGAGTATGCGTTTGCCTTTTGGGAGCTGGTGCATCTATCGGCTGTCAAGACTTCCCCTTTTTCAGAGACAGAGCCAGCCTGGACCGGGGGCCCCTCCAGCTACCTGGACAGGGAGAGCGAAGCAAGGCCTGCAAGGAAGGCCTCCAGAGCCAGCGCCATCAACACGTGCCCAGGCCATCTCCAGGGCTCCCACACCAGGCACCTCAGGTCCTGAGCCGGCTGTCTAGGGAAACACAAACACAGCTCAGATGGCAGGAACTTTTGCCTTGCCTGAATCTTCCTCCTCCTGCTGAATGGGGTGCCAGGACCCCCGAGAAGGGGTAGGACTTTCCTGGGGAAAGGTCTGGAGGCTTTGCAGTGCGAACACCAGAGGCTCTGAGTTGTGCCTTCATCTCAAGCAGGGCTCATGGCCCAGGCGGGGGCTCCCTGGGAGGGGGCGGGCAGAGCTGGGAACCTCAGCGGAAAATATGAAGTCAGATGCGGAGTTAGAGGAACTGGCCTGCCCTCCCTGTGTCCTGTTTCCTGGGCTG